CTTCAGGGTTTCGGGTACCAGGGTGACAGCGGAAAAAGGATGCAGTTTGGACCGTGGTTTCATGCTTACTTCAACGCGGCATCACCCTTCTTTACTCTTGTGTATTTTGTCAAAAAAGCTGCCGGCCTGATCTTCGCCGTTTCTAGCTGCTTTCAGCGGCCGGTCGACGAAAGGCCTCGGCAGACGTGACCCGCCATGCCCTCACTGCAGGTTTCTATGCCACGAATGCACGTGAAGTCCACATGGCACTGAGCTCCAAGGTTCCGCATCCTGACCGGCTACTGCAAGGACGACCTTCCAACTGTCTTGGACTGTCTTGGGCTCTTTCAACCTCTCGACCATGGACGCTTAGTCCATTGCAAGACCTTCCCTTACTGATGGAAGCATAAGCACTTTCCCGACAATGAAATCTGCCCCCGTCGCTTGAAACCACAACAGAGCCCCAGAAATCCCGGCCGGACAAACATGTACTGCAACAGCAGCTTGCTTGGTTTTCAATGATCATTACTGACTCACCCCTGCACTCCGAAGCATTCGGACATCGCTGGTACAGCTGCTCTCATCCATCCTTGTGAGGCTGAAGCCTAAGGTTTCAGGGTTTCGGGCTAGCTCCAAGCCTACACTTTGCTGGTGGCTTCCAGCTCATCCAGTTTTTTGTTGGACCCTCACCCCCCGCCAGAACCCCTAAAACCCTGGAATTGCAACGAATGACAGGATCTTTCCTGTGCAAAGAAGCAGCTGCAGGTGGGTTTTAGGGTTGAGCGTGGCGCTTCCATTCGCTGGGCATGGGGGTGAAGTATGTCTCAGCTACTTCTCCGCCACAAGGCTCTGCGCGAGATCTGCCAGGGTCAGGCCGGGAAGCTGGAAAGACATCCAAACACATACCCAAGACTCTTTCAGTCTTTGGGGGTGGGTGAGGACCCTCACCCAGCTGAATCCTTGCTCGAAGCCCTCAACCCTGGACCCCGGGCCCCAAGCCCCAGTGTTCGGATCCTTTTCGATTCCGGGAGGGGCCGGCTTGAATGCCAGGAGGGTGCTGTTGCAGCTCAGGAAGAATGTGGATGCTACCGTTCCCAAGCTAGCAGGGACGAAACACCCGAAGTGTGGTCAGAAAATCCGAAGCCTTGGTGCTTGATGTCGTCAAGATCTCGATAGCCTTTCATGCCGTCAGCTTGCCAGCTTGTTCGGGGGTTCGGGGCGGTGTCCACCAGGCCTGATTGATGAGATCCCGCTATCCCTAGTTGATGTAATGGTCCTGAAGCCTGCTGACATGCCAGATAGCTGCATGCCAAGATGCCCTCGGGCGGGGTGACAAGGTGCGCCAACTCTGCAGCATGTTGTTGGAACGCATTTTCGCACAGGGAGCACGAGAGAGGGGGAGAGAGGCGTAGAGAGACAGAGAGGTGACAGAGAAGGAAGAAGGAAAGGAAGACAGAGAGAGAGAAAGAAAGAGTGAGAGAGAGAAAGAGATAGGCTGGGTCCACGAAGGGCAGAAGCCTACCGAGGGGATTGGGGGTGGATATCAACCCCCCATCGGCACCAAACGTCGCCACAACACGTGGGGGCGCGCGTACTGCACGGGGGTTCGTCCCCCGGGCCCCATGAAAGAAGAAAGAAAGGGATAGAGAGAGCGGGAAAGCCTCCTGGCCAGGCCGGGGCTCCCTCTGGGCCTAGAAGTAGAAGAAGAAGAATGTGGAGTAGGAGGAGGAGTAGGAGGAGGAGTAGGCAGGAGACGAACAGGGAGAAAAGCATAGTGCACGCCTCTCGCAATGTTTTGCCGACGAAGACCGGACCCAGCGTGCGCCATCATTTGAGTTGGGATTGCGCGGCGCAATCGTCAAGCTTGGGTGAAGAAAAAGAATAATAATAACAAGAATAAGAATAAGAAGTAAGAAGTAAGAAAAAGGAGCAGCAGAAGCAGAATAAGAATAAGAATAAGAAGAAGAAGAATAGTAATAGCAAGAAGAAGAAGAACAAGAACAAGAAGAAAAATGAGAAGAATGAGAAGAATAAGAAGAACAATAAGAAGAAGAACAAGAACAATAACAATAAGGAACATGAGAATAATAAGAATAATAATAAGAAGAAATAATAATAATTATAATAATAAGAAGAAGAAGAACAAGGAGAAGAAGAAGGATAAAAAGAAGAAGAAGAAGAAGCAGCAGAAGAAGAATAAGAACAATAAGAAGAAGAAAAGAAAGTTCCCGACGATGGGGGCGGATGGAATTGTGCCGTTTTTCGTGACATCCTGGACAACGGGCACGCGACTGCGCCGGGGGAGGGCGCTTCCAAACAAGGAGTCCTTTCCTTCCAATGTCCTTGTAGCATGGGCCTGGAACCACCCCATCTTGAGACAGACAGCCCCAACCCAGTATTTCGGCTGCGAAAACTGCAGCCCCAACAACCGACTGACTCTTGGGACTTGCGGGCCCCTAGGGGCAGCTCTCCCTTCGGGGGGGGGGCTAAGCGTGCAGAGAGAGAGAGAGAGAGAGCTCTCGCTCTCTCCCTTTCTCCCTCTCTCCCTCCCTCCCTCCCTCTCTCTCTCTCTCTTCTTCTTCTTCTTCTTCTTCTTCTTCTTCTAGTAGAAGAAGAAGAAGAGAGAGAGAGAGAGAGAGAGAGAGAGAGAGAGAGCGAGAGAGAGAGAGAGAGGTGCGGGAGGGAGGAGAGGGAGAGAGGGAGAAAAGGGGATAGCTCTAGAAGAAGAGAGAGAGAGAGAGAGAGAGAGAGAGAGAGAGAGAGAGAGGAAGGGCGGCGGGAGGGAGGGATGAGGGAGGGAGGGAGGGAGGGAGGGAGGGTTTAGTGCAGTCTGAACCCCAACCCATCAGAACAGAACTTCTCCGGCGGAACAGTGGGGGGAGCCACCTTGAAAGCAGAACCCCAGCCTCCGAAGGGCCAAACAAAACAGACACGGACATCGCACGCGCCGCTGGGGGCGGCCTCCCTTCGGGGGGGTCATGCGTGGGGGAGAGGAGAGACAGAGAGAGAGAGAGAGAGAGAGAGAGAGGGGGAGAGGGAGGGAGGGAGGGAGGCAGAGAGGGAGAAAGGGAGAGAGCGAGAGCGAGACAGACAGGGAAGGGCCGGGCTGAAAGTTGGGGTAGCCCTAAGCAAACCCAGGAAGACAACAACAGATGGTGTGACAAGGTGCGTGGCAGAGAAGAAAAAAAAGGAGGGAGGGCCGACGGGAGGGAGGGAGATGGTGGCATGTTCGCTGCCCTTTAAACCATGCATCCAACATTGAAGATTGCCTGGACGAATGCTCGTTACCTTGCAGTACTTGCAGTACACTGAGGTCTGACTGTGTGAGCTGCAGGTGTCAGTTGCGAAGGACAATTGCCTGCTTTCTGGCAATATGAGAAGCACCAAGCAGACTAGAACTTTTTTCTCCGCGTGAAGTCTGAGCTAGTCCTATGAGACCAAGCTGTGCAACATGGTGAACACTACAGAGGTTTTTGTCGTTCACAGAACCCCCTTGAACCTAAGCAATTTTGGCTGCAGCTACGTTAACGGTCAAAACTGTGGGCTGGGAGTTGCGACTGATCTAGTCCCTCCTGGATGTCAGCGTGGCACTGTCGAGTGTGGTTCAAGGGGTTCCGCTGCAGGTTCTTGCCCAGCTTCGCACTGTGGCAGAGGCCGGGTGCAAGTACTTTTCCAGTTCCCGGTGGGGTTTGACGTTTAAGCTGCAGCTCAGATGATCCTTGACATTTCCGCAGCAGGATAGACGTGACCCTCAAGCCACAGACAAAATCCCCCACAGCAACAAGGACTGTTCTTCCTCTTTTGTTCAGCACGGTGCACGCCAGACCAACTGAAGCGTTCGGGTTTGGGAGGCAGCACCGGGTAACCCCGTTTCCGGGTTCAACGCCCAGCACCTTGAAAGTTAACGTCCTAAACCGGCGTAACCCCAACTGTTCCAAGCCCTGAACTCAGCAGGCGGCATCCGCAACAGGTTTGGAGCTTCGGTTCTGAGCTTACAGAGGGCAGTGGACGCATCCCGAAGCCCTCATTCCTACTGTTGGCGCTTGAGTAAAAGGATGAATCTTGCTTCCAAAAAAAACGAGGTATTTTCCTCAGGCCTAGGCTTCTGCAAAGCAGCGAACTTGGGCTGCAATGATCCGTTCCATCTGGACCGCTGTTTTTTTATTATAAATGTTTGTTTGTTTTTTCCTCTTGGGTCATGTCTGCACCTCTTATGCGACACATTTAAGAAGATCAGATGTTCTGGGTGTTCCAGAAGAAATCCAAGTGCTTGCAGTTGTCTCTGTGTGTTTTCTGTCAATTTGTTTTTGGGTGCAGATTTGGTGACCGTGTAGTGTCTTTGGTGTGTTGTCTTCAAGTTATGGTTGTGTGGTGCCTTTGGTCCTTCAAGTTTCGATTGCTCCCTTTAGTGCGTTGGTGTGGCGTCTTTTGGTTTTAGTCGCTGTCCTTGGTGTATTAGTGCAGTTTTTTCGTCGCTGGTCCTTTGGTGTGTTGGTTTCGATCCAAGCAAAAAAATAACCAAGAATGGTGTTGAGCCACTTTGGAAGTCCAAACACAATTTGACCGTTTTTACGCCAAAAAAAGACAGACCGCCGAATTCCGACGTGGAAAGCAAGAAGGCTCGGGACACCACGGGGCACCCTAAACTGGCAACAGCTCAAGCCAGATTGCCCGTGTCCCATGTGGCCGGAATCTCAAAAACTGGACTGAAGCCTGACTTCCCCCTGAACCCTACATGGTCAAACCTCTACATGGTCGTCTCCTTGGCTGAATCGCAGGAAAAGGATCATAAGTTCGAGAACTGGCGAAATTGAGGTTCTTTGCCGAGCTGCCATGTCGGTGCAGAGCCTAGCCGGGGGTTTTCGGGTCTTTGCTTGGTTGTTGGGGAAGGGTTCAGGTTTAGCCCTCCATCCGGACCCTAGGCCGCAGGTCATCGTGCTGCCTGCCAGGACAGTCGTATCATGTACACCATCCGCCGTCGCTTTACAGTCTGGGCTCGCAGCCTCTGTTTGAAGAAGAGCATGGTGTCCATGGCCCAGGGTATTTACGTGCGTGTGGCCAATGCATCCGTGGCGTGCATGGTGCGAACGAACCCATGGCCCAGCGTAACAGTGTCCTTGAATGCGTCCATGGCCCAAGGTCATTACATATGTGTTACCAGTGCATGCCATCCATGGCGCAAGTACTTCTGTGACCGGCGGCCAACCCGAAAGAATGCGGTGGGTGACAGTACTCAAAACCCAAAGGGTGGGGGTTCTTTTTGGGTATGTTTTTTGTTTTTTTTTGGGTGTTTTTTTTTTGGTTTTCTAAACCCTAAACCCAAAACCCAAAACCCTAAACCCAAAACCCAAAACCCTAAACCCAAAACCCTAAACCCTAAACCCTAAACCCTAAAACCCTAAAACCCTAAAACCCTAAAACCCTAAAACCCCAAAACCCTAAACCCCTAGAACCCTAAAACCCTAAAACCCTAGAACCCTAAAACCCTAAAACCCTAAAACCCTAAAACCCTAAAACCCTAAAACCCTAAAACCCTTAAACCCTTAAACCCTAATACCCTAATACCCTTAAACCCCTTAAACCCCTTAAACCCCTTAAACCCCTTAAACCCCTAAACCCTAACCCCTAACCCCTAAACCCAAAAACATACCCTAAACCCAAACACATACCCAAAAAAAACAAAAAAAAACACCCCAAAAAAAACCTGGCTCCACACCCAAACTCAAACACAAAAAGAAGCGCCTGGCGATGAAGCTTTCTTGGCTCCCTTTTACAGCCCAAAGCTCTGTGTTGCTTGACTTCTGGTTCCTAAGGCGGCTGAAGACGCCTTGTCTGAAGCTGCAGACAGATCTCCAGGCGCGGTGTGTCTGGTGCAGGGCGCCCGAAATCAAGCTCGCTTGAATCGGGGTTTGGGGACAGTGACAGGGCTTGGTCTTGAGGTACGGTTCATCCTGGTTTTTCTGGCTCCACTTTCCGGTACGGATGTTGGAGAGTCGAGGGTCCCTTGGACCGATCACGCGCAAGCCTTGGCCAACATTGTCGACAACATCGGCGACATGCTGCATGTCGGCTCTGCTTGCTGTTGTGGGAACCTACATGTTGCATCGTCGGATCATGGCAGCTCTTTTTGCATGCCAAAAGTGTAACATGGGAACCATTTGGGGCCTGCTTCTCGGGGACGTTTTCAGCCTTGGAAACCCCTCGATGCCTACAACCCTGCTGGCAAGGCTGGATATGAATCTTGGCAACAGCTGTCTTCGATGCCTGGCTCATAGCATCGTGATGCTGTGCCGGCAGTTTTCGGGAGCAGGATAGGAGTCAGATTGTGAGGGAGTTTGTTTAGGACCAGGCCAGGAGCTGAAGAGGCTGAAGAGCTTCAGAGCATAGGAGCATTGAGAAGGGCATCAGTGGCTTGCCCTCCGGCGTATTTTCACTTGCCGATTTTGATCCGTTTCGGTAACCTTGGCTGAACCCGAATCCCTACAAAATGAAGACCATTTGGCATACTCCCCCCCCTCCATCGATGCCGAAAAGCGCATCCCAAAATTGACAGAAACGGTCAGCCCCCAATGGGCGATCAGTCGGCTAAGTTGCCCAGGCACTGAACTCCAAAACTCTTCCCACCTCGTACCTCAGAGCCTCAGCCGGTCCAAAAGCCACTAGAGCACCCAGGCTCAGGAGCTTGCAGGGGCCGAGCTGCTTCTCCCTCCAGGCTTCTCATCTCGAGCTTTGGGGTTTTCTTGGGTTGTTTGGGCCTTTGAGGGGCCTGTAGAGGCTGTATGTGGTTTACCGCTGTGAGGCCACCTGAGCCCTGCCAGAAGCGGATGCTCCGATGCTCCCGAATCTGGTCGTCGGAATTGTAAGGAATCCGTTGCATCTTCTCAGCCTTGATGCAGCAATGGAGACGTGTCGCACGAACCCAGCATCTCTCACATCTCTCGCTTGCTGTGCCAGACTCCAAGCCAAAGCCAGCAGGCTGCAAGATTCCACCAAGCTCCGCATGCTTCAAGTTCCTCTGCCGGTCGAAGTCGCTTGTCGTCAGTGCTGGTGGAAATGCTGCCTTACCTTTAACGCGTCGCAGGCCTCATCCGCAATGTAGCCAGTACAACACTCGATACACGATACACGTACTGCTGCATGTGCCATCTGCGCCCTGCCCGGGGGTTTGAGAAGTCGGTCTCACGCGTTCGTTGTCTTCCTCCTCTTGTTCTTGTTTCTTGAAACGATCGAGAGGGTGGGAACGCTCGCCCTAGGCGCTTAAAAGAGCTCGGCCATCATCTTTGGGGCTCTAGTGTCTGGTCCCTCTCTGTAGGTCGACTGCCGCCGATGTCATTTTGAAACGAGCCTCTCCTGGCCTAACCATTGCAGAGCCAGGCTGCCTGGGGTGAGGTTCGAGGCGCATTCCAGCGGGCTGCCGTGGCTTGGATGAAATCCACTGATTCGTCATTAGCTGCATGAATGGTTGAGCCGGTTGAGCCTTCAAGGTTTCAGGAATTTCCGGGATTCGACCTGAAGGCCTTAAACCCCAAAGCCCCCAAAGATCACAGCAAAATCCCCAAGCAGTGTGGCCAAGTTTGCCAAGTTCTCAGAGGTCCGTGGAGGGTCCAGCCGCCATCGCTCCAAGGCCCCAAGCAAAGTGCACAGTGGTAGGGCCCTCGCTCTGTTTTTTTTTTTTTTTGGGGGGGGGGGGGATCCCAGGTTTGCAAGTTCGGGGTATTTGGGGACTTCGGAGTCGGACGCCACTTCGATCCTCAGCCTCCTCTCAACCGCCTTTTGAGCCTCGAAGCTTGCAGACCCTTGAGACCTAAACTCCAGGCATCCTTAAACCCTCGAACCCCACACATCCGCACGCCCAAATTTCGCCAGGCGATGCCGGACAGCTTTGCCAAGCGCTGGCGTCCAGGGACCCAGCCGACAGTGCTAACAGGGTGTAGGGCCGTAGGGCTCCTCATCATCGTCGTCGTCATCATCGCACCCTTTTTTCGGGGTGGGACTTGGCATTGTCCTTTTCTTGTCTCTTTTTCCTGGGGGGGGGGGGGGGGGCGGGTTTTGTTCTTAGCCTTGTGGTTAGCTCTTTCTAGGCGGGGTTGTGCAGTCTTAGGAAGTGCTTCGGAAAGCCGCTTTGGCCTCTAAACCCTGAACCCTATCGTCTAGCAGTGTCCCAGGCTGACGGTTTTAGGCCTCCAGGGCCGGGTTTTTTCGGAGACGCGAGTTGGTATGAACGGGTGCTGGATGCTTCTGCAGGCCGCAGCCGCGTCCGCCTCTGAGCTGCTTTGTTCTCGGTGTAAGGTTCAGGGTTTGTTGTTGTAGGGTTTTGTGTACAGAGTGTCAAGAGTCGCCGGGTACTATTCTGGGGAATTCGTCCTAGGTTTTGGTGTTCTTTTGGGAGACGTTTCTGTTGGCCAGGACGTGCCGTTGAAAAAAGTTTCAGCTGCGTGTGGAAGCTGCATTGCTGCCCAACACCCAAAAAGCCTGTCCCGTGATTTTCATGTGGCGTCAGGAGGCCGTGGTGTCTGAGAGTGGGCCCGGCTTCGGCCTCGGCTTTTGGGAATGTGAGGAGAGGGAGCCGAAGCCGAGGCCGATGCGCCGAACGGAAATGAAACTCCTAGCCCTGCTTCGGGCCTGGGCCCCCCAATGAAGGCCCCCTAATCCCACGAAGGCCCATGAAACCGAAGGGGGGCAGAAGGGCAGAAGGGCCGGAGGCACCGTCCTCCACGTGTTGCCCCTCCCACACACGCTCACTGCGTGGCAGCGGAACTCTGTTTCCTAGCTGCAGCTTTTGAAATTCGGAGAGGCTGAGACTCCTGCGCCTGCTTGGTTCGGGCTGGAAGACAGCTTAAAGAGTCTGGTTTGGGTGAAGGATACCGCAAGCTGGAGTCAAACTGAGCAGGGAAGCTCATCAGTTGTGGAGAAGGCTTCCCCAGGCCTTGTCGAGGACCTGCACACTTGCAAAGCACCGACGAGAAGTCGTGCTTGTAGGACACTGCTCTGGTCAGATCGGAGATGTAGAGGATGCGACGTGCGGAGTTGAAATCGGCATGCAGCAGTCCTAAGGGCAACCGCGCTCAGCCAGCAGCACCTGAACTTGCATACATGACTCACTGCATCGCAAGTATGGAGTGTGTTTTGTAAGTTTGTATAGATGCTCTAGAGGGTGGATGCCGGATCCCAGAAAGACCTGCCAAGGATCTTGGAGCCTACCCTGAGTCCATTCTCATTTCCCGATGTGACTTTGGCAGATTCCGTTCGAAGTGAAGACCAGTTATTGGCAGCTTGTGTGGCAGCATCTGGGTTTGAATATTTGAGGTGCCCAAGGAACGTCTGTTCGAAATCATGGTGATTCCTGCGCGCATTGCCCCGCGAGCACGGCAATACCTGTATGTCTGCATGGAAAGCCTTAAACCGCAGTCTGGGCCCAGAGAAGCGCAAAGGGCCGGAGCAACCCTCGGCCTTCTGCGCAGGCGGGCGCGAACATGGGCGAACGGAGGGTCGGGGTCAGCTGGGCTATTCGCAGTAATTGCTGGGTGCTTGGTGGGCGCAGAGCAATGTAGAACATCACCCTCGCAGGGTTCAGGGCAGTGAGCAGCTTGTTTTGGAGCGGGGTTGTCGGGTTTGAGCCAGCTTGCTCCAAGGCCTTCCAGGACCTTCGAGCAACTGTACCTTGGCCGAATAGATCCGTCATGTCTTGTCGTCTTGCAGCTGCAGCGTTCGGCAGTCGGGGCACTGCAATTCACAAGCACGCGTGTCACCGCAATTGGCTATCGTCCCTATGTAATGATGGGTTGACAGTAACTGTACGTAAACCTTGTGAACCGCCAACTGAGCATCCACAATTTTCGAATTTCAAAACTGTGACCTGAAAATCCGTCCCAAGATTCGCTGTTGACGAGGTATGGTGCCCTTGAGCGCCAATGAGGTCGTCTCTTGCCTCCATACAAGCCGCATCGTGTGCACATGAATTCATCGGAGTCACGCATCGAGGGCAAGGGGAAGCAAAACCCAAATCCGATCGCGTGGGGGCTCCTCTTTGGCTTTTCACCCTTAGCCTCCCCAAGCCCCAAATTGTTCAGGCTGCTTTTAACTCAAAGTCCTGGAACGTCAGTCGATGATGGAGCAAACCTCTATCTAAACCCTTGGTGCCCCTGCCGCATACCAAGATGCTTGGCCTTCAATCATCAAGCATTCAACCACGAAGGAGGATCTGATGACCCAACTTACACTCAGTTACCTCCCTGGGCTCTGCTCTTCAAAGCCCCCCCCCCCTACCCCTCCCAGGCTCGTTTTGCATGTGGGCGTTTGGAGCGCCCTCCTGGTCGGAGCATTGTCTGCTAGCAGCTGCCTTAGCTGCCATAGGGTTACAGGGTTCATGGTGTGTCAGATGTTTTTTTTGTTCAGGGTTTTCGGGCTCAGGATCTACTGAGTTTTTCGGATTCAGGGTCTTACTGGCAGGGTTCAGCGAAGGGCTAGGCCCCCAGTTTCGAGCGTTTAGATGGTTTGGGCATCAGGGCTCCAGGTGATAAGACGAACAGGCCATTGATTCCCCTGACTGCAGTACCCAAATCCGATCGTTCAAAGGCTGCTTTGTGTTTCGGCTAGGCTCCCCACCGAATCGGAAGCCCAACCCTGCAGACCCTAAAGCCGTAACCCCTTGCACCGACTAGGCCCTCCCCCCCAACCCCCCCCCCCCCAAAAGAAAAGGAACAAAGCAAAACAAAGCAAAGCAGACCCGAAGTTCTGAGCCCAACTCAGCATCTGCCCATTTCTTGTCGGACTCAGGCTCGAGCGATGCCAGAGCCGTGCACTTGGATGGCAGGATGTATTGGGCTCATTGGGGCTTGCTCCCTCCCCGCTAACAACGATACCCCCTAATGTTGAAACCGCCTGGCCCGCAAACCCGATCCCGTAGTTGCCCCTTCTGAAAGCTCTACCGCGTTAGGCGAGGGCCCCTGATGTTAAAAACTGGGGGGGGGGGGGGTGGGGGGGCTTAATATCTTGGTGGGGTGGACGTTCTGACTTGCATCTCATCATACCAAGCACGGATCTGAATGCTGAGGCTTCTATCATTCGCAGCCACGAGGCCGTCTTCTCCAGGCCAACGGTCGAGCAAAATTCCGTTCAGCAGTTTCGGCTCCGGGTCAGAAGTCCAGAGTATGTAACAGGCTTGAGGCGACTTGTTGTGATGTTTGCGACACCCCTTCACCTTGCTCCGAATTTCCCGTCGGGTGGCATGCAGTATTGGAGGGTTCGTGGTGAGTTTGTGCTAATGATGAACCACGCCATCACCTATGTTTTCTGTCTTCCGTGTGCTCCGATCCCGGATATGGGGATCTCCATGAGACTTCTTCAGTTGAGGCTCATGAACTGGCAGCCTTCGGAGGGTGGTGCCTTGGCTAGCAAGAAACCATAAGAAACCACAAGAAACCCGAAGCTGAAACTCCAAAGCCATCTTTCGCGGCTTGGCTGGGCTCGACTTGGCTCGGCTTGGGCTTCCGCGGATCCTTAAGGCACTTCTCTAGCACCCAAGTGTCTTTCCGGAGAGATGAGCCCTGCGCAGGGCTTCGAAGACCTGATTTAGATCCGTCCCTCCTGCCGCAACTTGAATGCTGTGAGCCCTGTCCTGTGAGTCCCTTGTGGATCCGATGACGTTGGAGCGCTGCAGCAAAGACTAGCCCCTGAACGAGGGTGCCTTGCACAAATCGAGAAGTGTATGGGACAGGTTTCTGGCCAACCACGATTTCGAGGCCACCAAGAGGTACTTGCGCAAAAGCCCTGATCGAGGCATGTCTTGGCTCGAAGCTCTATGCAGCCAGCAAGTGGCGAGATCGAACAAAACAAACATGCCATAATGCACTTGCAGAAAAGCAGCTTTTTCATCGCAGGTCTAGACCCGACGATCTCCACCTCGAAGCCTGCTTCATCAACATCATCATCAACATCATCATCAACATCATCATCATCATCATCATCATCATCATCACTATCATACTCGTTGTATTACTATGATGATCACTATCATGTATTTTGCATATCACATTCCATTCGCTTCTCACTTCTTACCATCTGATTGCCAGAAGTTTGGGTGCACTGAGGAGACTCGGAAGAGACGACGGGAGCTCCTGCGCCAGCCTCGGATTCGAAGTTATTCTCGAAGGGTCGGTTTCGGCTTCGGGCTTCAAGGGTGTGGGGCTTTAGGGGGGCCGTAGGAGGGCTTTTGTGGGCTTCGAGGCTAGTTCGGGCTGGTCTTCGGGTTTTGGTTCCTGCGGTGACGGGTTTTGCGCCTTGCTTTACAACATGGTTTTGCAGTGGCCAGCACAAGCACCTTGTTGCCTGACGCAAGGGCCAAACTCGCAACCCCTTTAGCCCCAACTTCTTTCCCTCGAATCCTTTAACCTTCAAATGAGAACTGACTAGGCCTCCCGTCTTTTCGGGTTGTTGAGGCCTGGGTTTTGGAGGTCCAGGGCTCAAGGTCTCTCGGTAGCCAACCTCTTCGTGACCGAACCTGACATCGAAGCATCTGTAAACAAGTCAAGTCGGTGTGGACTGAGCGTATGTGGTTTTAATGTATCATATTGAGGTGAGCTTTTCCCGAAACTGAAGGAGGCCCCTCCGGCCCTCCTCAGCTCCTCCAGCATTCTCGGTATGCCATTCGCCGACTTTTGCTCTTGGCCCTTGGAACCCCAGACGCGAGAGATCGACCAGCTCGGCCGCTGCGTCATCCCCATGTGGAACAGCCGGGTCGGCAGACCAGCATCCTTGCGGTTTACAGGGTTTCGGCCGTTTAGGCTTTGTGAGGCGTTGTGGGAGTCTGTGGGGCTTTTTGGGTTTAAGGGGTGGGGATGGAACTTGAAGTGTCTTCGACATGGTGTAGCACTGGTCAGGGGCAAAGGGGCAGCCTGCCTTTGAGCGCCTATCCTGTTTGCAGGACTTCGTGTGCCAGGAGCTGCTTGGAAGCAAGAGGGAGCCGAGGGGAAGTAGTTTGCCTTTGCGGCAAAAGGGTCCCTAAACCAAGCACTCCAGGCATATCGACGTCTCGGGTTTCAACATTTTCGAGGACTACAGAGGCCGCCCCCTCCTCCCCCCTCGCTTTTCAGTGATGGAAAGGTTGTTTGAGTCGATTCCTACCCGAGATCCAACTTCGAAGTGTTGCATTTATGGGGCTTCCTCCGAACCCCACCCGCTAAGGCCTAGAAGCTCAGGCCCTCAAACCTGAAAAGTACACCGCCCACAAGCCTTGTAGGACCCGTTTTGGGTTCTCAGGGCCCCCCAACATCCCCACCTGCAGGTCGAGTGCGGAAGAGGCTGGAGGATGGACAGCTTTGCACGGCGTGGCTCCCGGGGGTTTGCATTTTGCAGGTTTAGGGGTTTTTGGAGGCGGGTGTTAGGGCTTTGCTGAGGGTGTAGTGACCTGGAGAAGGGGGATTTTCCTGCTGGATCGGGGGGGGGGGGGAGAAGTTGCACGTTTTTGAGACACAAGAAGCGCATAGCCAAGCACCTCGGCATCCTGAGGTGCAGTGTCCGGATCCTCGATGGTGGCAGGTGATCGGTCTCGACACCTGCCCGACCTCCCCCCCCCCCCCCACACACATGCTATTAGACGTTCAAGGGGGCTGATAGCGTGTCAACTTGGGTGCTTGGGAGTGTGGCGTCATTTTGGCTTTTTGTGTTTAAGGTTTTGGAGGTTCACAGGCTTGTGTGACCCCGTCTTTCGTCTGCAGATCCCTTGGGACGACGAGCAGATCCTGTGCACGCGAGGCATGGGGCCGAGTGACAGCCAGGAAACCATGATTGGCAGTCCCTCCCCCCCCCCCCCACAATCATCCCCTCACCCATGCTTGAAAGGAAGGGTCGTCAGCTGTTTTACCCCTAGCTGTAAACGCAGCTGTGCACGAAACTATCATCCTCAAAGGGCAGGTGGATTCCGACACGTTTAAATCCCAAACCCTGTGCCTCTAAACATAATTCCGATCGACCCTAAACACTAAACCGCCTAAACCCACTTTTCGCCTCAGGAGTCTTGAAAACTCACGCCGGCGCGATCGTGCAGAAGGTGGGGCTCCACCGCCACTCCAACTTCTAAGGCGTGTCAGGTTAAGGGCCGGTTCATGATGGGAGGGTTTGTCTTCGGCATATTCAGAGAGGTTAACAATTTTCATGGACCCAATCATTCCCACTCGTCTTGCAGTCTGAACTTCTTCAAATGGTCAATGCCCCAACTGAAAGCCAAGCACCATGGATCGAACAGATCGACTGCCGCACCGCCTCCTCGTTCAAGTTCAGCGTCCTTGTGCTGGTCCTCATCGCTCCGCGCTCGGGTTTGGGGCTGTCCAATGTTTTTTAGTTGGGAGAAAGGGGTCAACCAAAACACCTTGTTTGCGCCTATTCGGCCCTGATCCCATCAGCCCAGGCAGTGCTTGGCCCGGTCCTCGCGCTGAGAAGCGCCGCGAAACTTGGCGAAGAAGTGGGACACGACAGGTGTTTGAAGATTAGAGTTCAGAGGCTTTCTTTGCTGGGTTTGTTTGAGCGCTTATAGGGTTTCAGGGTCGAGGCCTCAAGCCCTGCCAGCGCTGTGCCTCTGCCACAATGAGAGTACCGTCACCTCGAAGGAAGCCAGCACCTCCTCTGCCTGGCAGCAGCCTCAGCCTGTGTTCTTTAAGGTTTGGGGCTTGGGCCTAGGGTATTTAGCATGTTGAAGGCACCTTACAAGGCGCTTCTGTAGCATCCACCGCATGGGGCGGGCAAGATGGGGCGGGCAAGTGCCGGAGTCTTCCCGCGAATCGCTGCGGCCATCCTCGGCTGACTCGGTGCAGCTTCGGGGTTGCGTAAACACAGGATGGGGTGTACCCCTTGGTTCTAAAACCCCAAACCCCGACCCAATGCTGTAGTTGCAGAGGCCCCACGGCGCAGCCCATCCAAATCGTCGACGAGCCCGACTCCCCGACGCAGGAGCACTGGTCTCAAGGTCTTTCAGGGTGCATGGGGGGATTTGAGGATGGGGAGCGACGGATTGGGATGGCATCGGTTGACTACATGAGCTTTTGCACCCCGAAGCCCTCAGCCCTCGATCGACAAAACCCGAAACATCCCGAAACGAAGCCCCCTAAGCAAGTCCCTGGTGAAGGCCACCGCTGGTAGTCTCTTGGCTGGTATTCTACTTCGCGCCGTTCAGAGACTTGGGGGTAAGAGGGGTTTCTCGAATCTGAGGCGGATGAAAAGCAAAAGGCTGCAGTGCGCTCAGGCGGGACTTCGTTGAGGTTGCTAAGCCTCAGATCCCGAGTACAGGCCGACGCTTGCGCGATTCTTTCTAAGATGCGGAGCTTGCTGTAATCAGACCTAGAGGTGGAATGCCAGGGTATGAGCGACCCATCCGGCTTTCCTTCTGGCAGGTCAGAACAGGCTGCCTACTCGAAGTAAGGCTCTGGCAAAGGAAGCAGCTGCGCGTCACCCTGAAGAAGCTGACAGCAGCGCAAGGAAAGGAGAAAAGGCACAGAACCATACCAATGCAAGGCTTCCACTTGAGCGATTGGAGGTGTGAGTTGTTTGCTCTCCGGCTGTGTGGGTACTCGAGCGACTGCCGGAACTGGACATACCGCAACTCAAGAATGCGCTGTTCGATTACTGCGTAGCGGTTGTTTGTGGACCTGCCCTGACGCTTCGTTGGATCAGGCATGTTATCAGAGAGGTGAGTGTGGGTCTCAGGCCCACACATCCTCCAACAGAAGGGGGTGAACATGTTGACCTAGAGGCCTGGCTAGCCTGCGCCGCTTCAGCACTGCATGCCTCGTTCCTGCGTGGCCATCCATGCTTGAGAATGAACTCTGAACCTTTCGACCCCGACAACTTCACTCACACGTCTGAAGCGCAGCCTTTGCTCGGTAGTCCAAGTTTGACGCTGATGACTTCGATGCGCGGCCGACCTTTTTAAAGGCGGGGAGGGTGTGTCAGTATCGTTGCGTTGTCCATGCTTGTGGAATCTCCATCCTGGACCTCCGCGCCTCAGTGGAAGAGTAAAGTCGAGAGAGACTTTACATGACTGCGCAGTGACATTACTGCCAGACATGCATGCTGCATGCCTGGCAGCAAAACGACGAAAGAAATTCGCACCATGTGGCTCTTCACATGCTGTCTCACGAGACCCATTAATGCGTGGTGCAGCATTGGCTGAAGTGCCATCAAACCACGCAGTGGAAGGAGATAGGCAGACTGCCGGAGACGTTTCCTTCTTCCTTCTCCTCTCGTTATATTTCGTTTAAGAGCCTCCGAGAGCCCCACAACAACGGTGAGGGCGACGGCCGTTTGGCTAATACTTTCTGCTCTGATGCTCTGGTGCCCACAGGGTTAGGATGGGCCACTCGTCTCCATATGCAAACTCCCAGGTGGAAGGGCTTGGACTCAGTAGGACGAGACTTTGTTGTTGGCAGGTGACATGCTGTTGGCCGATGACACTTACCACGCCGAACGAGCAGGGCGGTGCGCCCCGCAGTAAGAACAGGATAGAGTACAAAACATTGTAAAGAAGTGCCTGCAGTTCAGCCATGTACAGCACTCGTACTTGAAAGAGAGTAAACACAGTTGCGCCTTCTCATTCATTGCCACATACCCAGAGCCGATCAGCTTTTATGATCTCCTGCGTGCATGAGCTCTAAGCCAGACGCACCACCTGCCCGGCGGCATGTTCCTCGTGTGTGTTGGGCAGCGACCTGTCTTGTGACTTGTTTTGTTTGGCCTTGTTGCGCCAGATCACAAATGTGTCGGAGTGGATTTTCGCATGACCGCTGCTCTCTGGCTCCGTAGGACTGCCAGTCCTTCCCCCAGCTAAGCCAAGCCTTACTCATTCGCAGGCGCGTGAAAGTGCCCAGCGCCTCTAACAATGAAAATCGTAAGTGTGAGCTTTGACATGGAGACGGGTGACAGACGGTGTAACGATGCCAGCATCCGATGCGACGGCGGCACTATCTTAGTCAAATGTCGCGCCTGGTCTGCCTGCACTTGTCGAGGCGTATTTTGCCCATCCCGGCAGGACATGCCTGCAATCTGACAATGCTGGCAGCTATGTTCGCAGTCCAGCAGTCTGAGAATAAGAGTCAACCCCGCACCTTCGTTGCACAAGTCTGAGAGTCAAGCGCGAGTTGAGACTGCATTCCATAAATTGTTGCAACTTGCAATGTTTCTCGACAAAGTGCTATCTGTTCCCACTCTGCGGAGATTGAGAGAGTCATCTTCGGGCTGCTTATCTGCACATGTAGCACCGATGCAACCGAGGCTTTGTCGCCGTGGCTTGGATGCAATGATGGTGTCCTGGTGCAGTCAAGCTGCAATGCCGACTTATCCAGCGCTGCTCCCCTTTGGCCGCAGCAGTTGGGGTCCTGAAAACCACCCAATTTGTTGAAACCCTAGACTCGAACTCCAGACTCTCCAGCCCAAACCCGGCACTGCATCTACTTGCTTCTAGCTGGGCCACTGAGGCAGCATACGCTATCTTCGTGACAGGAAGCTTCGCCGCGCCTTGCTTTAGATTTGCTTGTGCGAAGGGCTAGGCTTGGAGATTCTGGCGTGGAGAGTAGAACCTCCAGTCAAGGTCTATCACTTTGTGGCCAATGGCGAGTTCTCCTCCATCCTCACCATGGCACAGATGCTCCAGTGCCTAGCCTTCGCACTGCTCGTCATCAGATCCTGGTCTCAAGGCCCTGGGGCCCTAGAGCAGGGTTTGGGTTTGGGGAGTTGGGGGGTTCAGCCAGATTCCCGCGGTCAAGCTGGTAGGACCCACGCGTGCAGGCAGTGTGGCCGGATTGTCGGCCAAGTCACTGGCGTTGGAGGCACTGAATTTGAAGGGAACGGATGCGCCCTGGAGACTGCTGAAACAGGGAAAGAACCCTCATGTCAGATGCCACAGAGGACTGCAGCTTGTTGCACCCCGAAATAATTACAGTACTGTTTGTTGTGCCGGGTTGCTAAATGCCTCAGATGCGGTGCGGAGGCCCTTGCGTTTGCCTGCCGCCTCTCCTCAACGACGTGGCTGAATGGCAACTTCGGTAGAAATAGTTCAGGTCTTAAGTCGGGGGGTGGCAAAGGTGACCCCAGGCCAAGGTGACCTTTGTCTTCTATCGTCTATGTAAATTAGGTCAAATTAAATTAGATTGATTTTAATTGATTTTAACTCATTTCAATAAATGTCAAAATGACAAGTAATTTCAATTAATTCAATTTCATTCATTTTTATTTAGTTTTAATTAATTTCAATATTTTTTCTTAAATTTTCATGCAATTTAAGTGATTTTCAAATTAATTTCATTAATTACAATTATTTTCAATTAATTTCAATTAATTTCAACTAATTTCAATTTTCTAATTAATCTTAATGAATTTTAATTCACATTTCTATTTATTTTATTTCTTTTAATTATTTTTACTTGTTTTTAATTAGTTTTAATTGATTTTTGATGAATTTTAATGATTTTTGATTTATTTTAATTAAGTTCAGTTAACTTCAAAACAATTTAATTAATTTGAATTTCTTGTAATTAGTGTTGACGAATTTTAATCAATCTTAATTAATCGAATCATCTTGAGTAAATTTTAATTAACTTTAAAGCAATCCAAGTATTTGTTTATAAACTATAATAAAAACAATTAAAACGAATTAAAACGCACTGAAATTAATTAACGTTAATTAAGATAAACTGAAATGAATTAAAGATAAACAAAACCACAAAAAATTTTAAAAATGACGAAAATTCATTAAAAACTCATGAAAATTTGAAATTTGACAAAATTCGACAAAATTGATTGACATTCATTATAATGAATGACAACGAACTGATTCAAATTAATTCATTGTAATCATGTTTAATGAATTTTTATAACCTATTTATTTTTGATTAATTTTAATGAAATTTAATTTTAGTTTGGATTAATCTTAATTGCTTTAATTATTGTGAATTATGTTTTAATTAGTGCTAATAACTTTATTTACTGTTAATTATTGTACATTTTGATGAAATATAATTGAATTTTGATTATCGTCAATTAGTTTAGAATTAATTCTATTTAATTTAATTCTTTTTCAAAAAATTTGAAAGAATTCTATTTGATTTTCCTTTTTTTAATTTGAATTAATTTGAAGTAATTTGAATTAGTTTTGCATTAATTTGATTGAATTAATTTGAATTAATTTGAATGAATTTTTATTAACGTTTACTAATTGTAATGTTGAACCAATTTGAAGTAATTTTTAAGAATTTTAGTTTTGATTAACTTTTAGTAATTTTAATAAACTTTAATTTTAATTTTTAGTTCATTTTAATTTATTTTAATGAATGCTAATTACTTTTAATTAATTTTAACTAAATGTATTTAATTTTAATTAATGTTCATCAATTTTAATTAGTTTTAATTAATCTAATTAGTCAAAATAATTTCTAACTAATTTTAATACATTTAATTCATTGCAACGAATTTTTAATGTCTTTCGGCTTTTGATTTATTTTAATTTTGTTAATTAGTTTACTAGTTTAACTAATTGTTCATTTTTGTTAATTTTGATTAATTGCAATCAGATGTATTTTGTTTTCATTAATTCCAATTAATTTGAATTATTTTGATTAATTTTACATAACCGTAACTAAATTTATATTAGTTTTAATTGGTTTTAATTCATTTTAGTCAATGTTAATTAATTTTAACTAATTTAATGATTCAATTAGTTTTAGCTATTTATGTTACTGTTTTTAAGTATTTGTTTGATCGGTTTTGAAATTGATTAAGATTAATTAGCATGAGCTAGAATTAATCTAAATTTAATTACGGTTTTTGAAAATTCGTCAATTTAATTGAATTAGTTGTGATTAATGAAAATAAAATACAATTAGGCAAAATTAATAAACATAAAGTAATAGCAATAGCAAATTAATTAGAAAAATAAAGTTATTTAAAACAAACATTACTTAAACTTTTTATTTTCAATAAAATTCATAAAAACAAAAGAAACTAATTCTAATTAATTAGAAGAGATTTTAATTCAAGTCTATTTTAATTAATTATACTTGGTGTTTCACTTTATTTTAATTAACTAATCTTTTATTCATTTGAATAATTGTAATTAATTTGAACGACTTTTGTCTAGTTTAATTAATATGAATTAGTCTTAATTAATTTCAATTAATGCTAATTGATTTTCGTTAATTTCAACTAATTTTAATCAATTTTATCATTAATTTTCATGAATGATGTTAATTGATTTTCATGAATTTTCATACATTGTAATTAGTTTTAATTAATTTTAATGAATTTTCATTAATTTTAATTACTTTTAGTTAATATTGATTTTAAATAATTTGAATTAATTGTATTTTAATTAATTTTAATGTATTTTAATTAATTTTAATTAATTTTGATTAATATTGATTAATTTTAATTGATTTTAGCTAATTTTAACTAATTTTAATTAACTTTAATTAATCTTAATTAATTTTAATTAGTTTTTAATTAATTTTTATTAATTTTAATTAATTTTAATTAGTCCCCCGGGCCCTGCAGCTTCCTGCGGTTGGTGGGCTACCTGGTAAGGACGACCCCGGGGGCGGCACTAAGGGGGTTTAACCCCCGATGAGCACTCCTCACCCGCCCCCCAGTCCGCGCTGCAGGGGCGACGGTGCCTTTGGTTGTTGGTGCGGCGCGTCGTAGTTGTCATGCGTGGGCGGCTTCGTGTTTCTTGTCTTGGTGTGTCCGTTCACTGCACTCGCCCTAGCACCGTGCCCCATACCCCTTGTCTTCGCTTCGGTGCTTTTTGGGTTCTGTGACTTGCTTGTGTCCTGGCTGTCTCTGATGCTGCTGATGAAATATTTTAGCTGCATCAGCGGCTTGTCCTTGTTGGACTGCTGTCGTCAAGTTTAACCTTGCCGCGCACTTGCCCTGGGTTTGGTGCCTCCCCGCGCATTGGCTGTGTGTGCCTGCCCTCCTTCCCTTCTGTAGATGCGCTGCCCCCTGGGATTGAATGGATTGGCTTTGTGCCTCCCCGCGCATTGGTTGTGTGTGCCTGCCCTCCTTCCCTTCTGTATATGCGCTGCCCCTGGGATTGGCTTTGTGCCTCCCCGCGCATTGGCTGTGTGTGCCTGCCCTCCTTCCCTTCTGTAGATGCGCTGCCCCTGGGATTGAATGGATTGGCTTTGTGCCTCCCCGCGCATTGGCTGTGTGTGCCTGCCCTCCTTCCCTTCTGTATATGCGCTGCCCCTGGGATTAAATGGATTGGCTTTGTGCCTCCCCGCGCATTGGCTGTGTGTGCCTGCCCTCCTTCCCTTCTGTAGTTGCGCTGCCCCTGGGATTGGCTTTGTGCCTCCCCGCGCATTGGCTCTGTGTGTGTGTGTGTGTGTGTGTGCCTGCCCTCCTTCCCTCTGTATAAGCGCTGCCCCTGGGACTGGCTTTGTGCCTCCCCGCTTTGTGCCTGTGCTTGCTCCTTCCCTTCTGTGTGTGCGCTGCTCCTGGACTGGCTTTGTGCCTCCCTGTGCATTGGCTGTGCCCTCCTTCCCCTCCTTCCCTTCCGTGTATTTGCTGTCCCTGGGTTTGGCTTTGTGCCTCCCCGCGCATTGGTTGTGTGTGCCTGCCCTCCTTCCCTTCTGTATATGCGCTGCCCCTGGGATTGGCTTTGTGCCTCCCCGCGCATTGGCTGTGTCTGCCTGCCCTCCTTCCCTTCTGTATATGCGCTGCCCCTGGGATTGGCTTTGTGCCTCCCCGCGCTTTGGCTGTGTGTGCCTGCCCTCCTTCGCTTCTGTATTCGCGCTGTCCCTGGGATTGGCTGTGTGCCTCCCCGCGCATTGGCTGTGTGTGCCTGCCCTCCTTCCCTTCTGTATATGCGCTGCCCCTGGGTTTGGCTTTGTGCCTCCCCGGGCATTCGCTGTGTGTGGCTGCCCTCCTTCCCTTCTGTATATGCGCTGCCCTGAGATTGGCTTTGTGCCTCCCTGTGCATTGGCTGTGTGTGTGTGTGTGTGCCTGCCCTCCTTCCCTTCTGTATAAGCGCTGCCCCCGAAATTGGCTTTGTGCCTCCCCGCGCTTTGGCTGTGTGTGCCTGCCCTCCTTCCCTTCTGTATATGCGCTGCCCCTGGGATTGGCTTTGTGCCTCCCCGCGCATTGGCTGTGTGTGCCTGCCCTCCTTCGCTTCTGTATATGCGCTGTCCCTGGGATTGGCTGTGTGCCTCCCCGCGCATTGGCTGTGTGTGCCTGCCCTCCTTCCCTTCTGTATATGCGCTGTCCCTGGGTTTGGCTTTGTGCCTCCCCGCGCATTGGCTGTGTGTGTGCCTGCCCTCCTTCCCTTCTGTATATGCGCTGCCCAGGGGCTTTGTGCCTCCCCGCGCATTGGCTGTGTGTGCCTGCCCTCGCTTCTGTATATGCGCTGCCCTCGGGTTTGGCTTTGTGCCTCCCCGTGCATTGGCTGTGTGTGCCTGCCCTCCTTCCCTTCTGTATATGTGCTGCCCCTGGTATTGACTTTGTGCCTCTGCGCGCATTGGCTGTGTGTGGCTTTGGCTGTGTTGGTCTGTTTCTCTTGTTATGCGCTGCCCCTGGGTTTGGCTTCGTGTCTCCCCGTGGATTGGCTGTGTGTGTGTGCCTGCCCTCCTTTCCTTCTGTTTATGCGCTGCCCATGGGTTGGGCCCGTGCGTTGGCTTTGTGCCTGCCCTCCCTCCCTTTTGTTTGCGCTACCGCGAGCTACTCCTGGGCAGGGCTGGGGTCTGGGTCTCTCTCCCCTCCCTTTGCCTCTCCCCCGTTCTGCCGCAACTTGGTCTGCAGTTAGCTAGATACCCCCTCTTGAACCCTCTGCGGAGGGTGGCAAGGACGTTTACGGAGCCGCCCCGAGATGCAGGGGGGGACGAGCGCGGGCGGCTGCAGCTACTGCTGCTAGCCTTCTCCACTCCACTCCACTCCACTAATTTTAATTAGTTTTAATGAGTTTTAATAGATTTTGATTAATTTTAACTACTGCTTGGGGAAGGCGCAACATGGTGGAAAGGACCATGCGTTCTTGGTGCTGGAAGTA